CATGCAGTGACTCCAGTTTTGCTTCATCTTGCGGTTTTTAAGCCAGACTCGTAGTGGGGCAGGGACAGGAGGAGACAGGACACAGATTTTCTTAGGTGCCGTGGTCTAAACCCAGGACAAGGCTTAGGGCAAGTTTGACCCAGGCAGCAGGCTTGGTTTCGGGCTTCAGTCTTTCTGCTTTGCCCACAGCCTCAGCCCTGCATCCTCCTGTGCTCAGCACCCTTTCCCCAGGGTCCCGAACTTTCTGCCAAGGTCCCAATTTCTCTCTAAGCAGAGGGCACAAACCAAACTGGGGAGTGCCGTGCCCAGGGCTGCTGATCCGTGCCCTAAGCTCTTCCCCCAGCAGTTGTGACCGGAGGTACCGGGGTGCAGCGGGAGCCGGGAACGCGGGAGATAAACCATTGATGTTGTCAACGCTGCCGGGACTTAACATATTGTGAGATATGGCAGCTTGTTTGCACGGATGTTAACCAGCCTCTCCTGTCCCCTTCTTGTCACTGCCCAGTCCCTGCCACAGCCAATCTGTGTCCTAATCTCCATCAATTAAGAAGAAACACTTTCACCCCCTCGCTCCCCCCCACACCAGACAGACACCCACCCTGAAGCCTCGGATAAAGAGGAAAGAGCCCCCCCAGCCTCGACCCTCTCCCCCTTTACTTTCCACTAACTCAGCGCAACCAATTAGGCATCTGACACCCGTACTGGCTGACAAATTGTTTCTGTCATCTGCTTTCTGTCTTTCATTAAACGAGAGGCGGAGGGGGGGAATTGAGAAGGGAGGGGGGGAGCTGGGAGATGTGATCTCCCATGCTTAGCGAGGCCAGATACATTAATTACAAAACGGCCATTTGCAGCATGAAAATGCATTAATTAAATTTATGCAATCATTACCTTTAAATAGTCATATCTTTAAAATAATCAGCCCTTCCTGAGTCTTCCCTCTCCTCCACTAAGTATCTCTAATCCCTTTTCCACCATTTATCTCTGGATCAGCAGTGGCTTGTATGCTTTTAAACTTCTGCGTGCAGGAGATGCCTTAAAAACTCCGCGCGAGTAAGACGAGGGTGTGATACCTTCACTCTTCCCCTTGGCCCCGCAGCAGGGAGGACAAGTGAGGGCCACATATCTACTCCGCAAATTAGAAGATGTGCCGTTTCTTGGAGGTTTTTGATGAAGATATTTTCATGAAAGAGAGCTTGTAGCTCAGCCAGGAGTTGGGGGGGTTAATGTACAAAGTTCTTTGCTTGCATTTGTACCGGAGAGTGAGGTGTGTGCTGGTTACTTACCCGCTTAGTAAATGTATTGCTGTTTTCGTTTGGAAGAGGTTTAATTTTAATGAGGTAACGGCCCTTCCCTTTGGCGCAGACAGAGCTTTGCCAGCAGACAGCTACCTTGCAGCGGTGTATCTTTTTCTTCTTAAAAATCACTTAGTTCAAGGCAGCAAATGATGTTCATAAAAAAAAAAAAAAGGTTTTAAAAATAGGCATTTCGCTACTCTGATGCTTGAGATCCCTTCTCGGTGGCTTCATATGATAATTCTCCAAAATATTTTGTTTTGGAGTACCTTCAGATGTAACCCAAATCAAATTGTGCTAGACAAATAAGAAGGAAGCGCAGTTAATGACGTGTTAGCCCAGCAGCTTCTGCTTTTCTACTGTGTTGTTCAAAGACTTCACCTGCTTGTGACGGCTGCTCAAATAATCATTGCAAACTTATCGAGGTTTGCGCTGCTCCTCGGCAGACCCCAGGTGCAGGAGTGCCGAAATACCCAGGGAAGAATTAATTTAATCCCCTGCTTAAGTAAGCACCTATAACACCACAGGAAAACTCCAGTCCAAATAGCTTCGAAAGAGCTGGAGGACTCAAAGAGGGATATTTATCTAAACTCCAATCCTTTAGGGCTTTCTTATCGCTTGTGGTTAAAGATTTTTGTTCTGCTCTTTGTGTGTCTGCATCATTTTTAATAAATCCTACATGGTTTTTTTTCCCCTATCTGTAGTGCCTAGTGGGCCGATGTCCAATTAGACGGGAGCCGACGAGGCAGTGGTATTTGCATCCAGACCTCGTGTTGTGTTCGGCTCAGGAGTTCAGGATTAAGACCAAGTAGAATTTGGGGGAAAATTTGATGGTGACTGAATCCTGCCAGATTTCTTATGTCTGAGGGGCAGAAATGAGCTCTGTGTTTTCAGAAGCAGACAGTAGCTTGTCCTGCACAGGACAGTCCCCTTGACAGTCCGAGTGTCCCCAGCGTCCTCTTGAAGAAGTGCATTATGAAACTATAAGTTGTTTGGATCCAGCACAGCATGAGCTCAGTGTAAAGGTGATTACAAACAAGGAATACAAAGGGCTCATTTTTCCCTGGACCATCTCTGAGAGTGGACATTTCTGGAGAGAAAGGAAAAGCCTTGCTACAGAGCAAAACAGGGAACACGGTTGTTGAGCTAGAACATCTTTAGCTGTAAGAGTAATCCTCTATTAAAGCCAGTGTTTCCAGCAAGGATCCCTTCTCCTCTCCCTTCTCCTCTCCCTTCTCCTCTCCCTTCCTTACCCTGATGCCTCCACCCCAGTGGACTCCACACTTTGGTGGCTGCAGCTCCACTGACCCTGAGTTCAGACTCTGGGAGAGTTTGGGGGTTCATGTTTGGCCAAAAGAAGCAGCTCCCTGTCTTTGAAAATACCACCATGCTCCCCAGCAGCAGAGAGAAGTCCCAAGGAAGAGCACATGGCACTATGTGGGGCTGCAAAAGGCATTTCCTTGGATTCGGGAGCTGTGATTTTCCTACAGGTGAGGGAAGGGGTCAGGGGTCCTGACTTTAAAACTTCATCGCTCAGAAGATCCAAGCTGGGCTGAAGTGCTCGCAGACAGGACTGGGGTCTGGGTTGTTTGTTCATTAGGGTGGGCTGAAAAGAGAAACCCTCACTTTAAAAAATGCACCAAGCTCCCCCCCAGGAAAGCAGGGGACTGAGACAGGCAGCAGAGGAGCTGGCAATAGGAAACGCTTCTGATTTTCCCTTTCTTCCATTCTTTTGCCAAGCTCGAGTTATTAAGTGTTTGGTGTGAGCCTAGCTAGCCCTGCACTTGCCGAACTTCTCAGGGTTATTTCATCTCCCCATGACCTCTCCGTATTTACGCTGGGAACCCTGGAGGCATTGGCTTTGCTTAACTGGTGTATCTACACTGCAGTTAAGCTGGACCTTAACTGATTACAGCCCTTGATTGATCAGAGAAAGAGGGGAGGGGAAGAGAAAGAGGAGTCCTCCAGCAGGACTATCAGTGCACCGAGCAGCTTCGCCTGGGGCTGGGATATGCCACTCGGGGGATTCTTTGTAGTGCAGCTCCTTTCACATTTATAGAGGCTCCCCTCCACTCTCCAAAAAGAGAGAGACAGAGAGAGAAAAGCAAGGGAAGGAGGGGGGGAATGGAGCAGACTTAAAGGATCTCAGGAAATCTTGTTTGGAAGCAGTAAGTCAGCACCCGCACTCCATTACCAGTGTCCGCGGGGGGTTGTGATAGTGAGCGAGCACAGATCAGCTTAGCTGAGAAATGGGGAAAAAAAAAAATAAAATGAGGGAGAGAAATGGAAAGGGAGGAGGGGAAGAGGAGACCTTTCTGTGAATTTTTGGTTTGTCTTTGTTAGTCTCTGCCAGCCTAGCGCTGCCAAACAGAGGAATGACGGAAGTTTATAAACCAGTTTTAATTTGCTGGGACCTAGCTGTGCTGCGTGGTCTCCCCACGCTGCCGTTATTCACATCAGGCAGATGCTCAGCAATAGATTTAGGGCTGAGATTTAGGAGGAAACCTTTGTGTTTATTTGTTTATTTCTTAGTGTTTTGAATCTCTCACCAAGTCCTTTTTGTCTGAGCTTACCCCGGAATGGAAGAATAGGTGCAGAATAAAAACCTCAACTGATCACCAATCCAGCCTATTTCCAAAGCCAAACCTAACCTGAGTTCTTCTGCCGGTTTGGAAATGTTTAGAAATTTTACTTTTCCATGGTTGTGCCTTTCTCCTTCCAGATGATTTAGTGAGTTCCGAAATGCCACAAGTAAGATTCATCTTCCTGCAAATACTACCCTGTGTAAAGTTGCCCAGAGATGCTCCGTATCTCAACAAAGGGATTTTTCCATGGAACCTTTCCTTTCCAGTGTGTTCACTTGTCCTTCACAGAGAAACATATTCACGGGGAAAACAGCGTCAGGGTAGAGTTTGCTTGTGGTGGCTTCTGTTCATGCAGCCTACTGCCTGGAAATGAGGAGGACAGGGTGGCTCGCTTTGCCAGCCAGGACAGTTGGGAAGCACCGGCCTTCTTTTGGTTATTCTGTATTGAATGTCTATAGCAATTCCACTTGAATCAGGAAAAACACCTAATGCTTAGGTAACACACGGTGGATAATGGTATTGATGGTTAGTAAAGCACAAACCGCCCATTTTTAGAGGGGAGATAGTCGGCAGTGCATGGAAATCAGACCCCTTTGACACATTCGACATGGCAAGGCACTAGTTAGCCTTTTGGCTCGAGTCTCTCCCGTTTCTGGAAGGGGTAAGTCCATGTCTTGTGATTTTGCTTGTCAGTGAAATTAATGCCCATAGAACTGGCACCCCCTTTACCTTAGACAGCCCCCACTTAGCACAGCATGTCTTTTTGTTTCCTCTCTGCTTATCCGGACTACTAAAAGCTTTGCCATCTGCTTTTATCTAAGTGACAGTAGAGTTTGGTGCCCTAACATCAGGGATAGTCGCTTGTGTTTTTAGATCAAGCAGTTTTTGATGTAATTCCCATTCACAGTGATGCCTCCCCCTGCTCCCCTCCAAATTACAGCTGTATAACCCCGTGGTGCTTCTGATTTCCTTACGGTATTTCCATTGCAAGAAGAGCCCACTCCTCTTTCCCCATCAAGACTTAAACAATTTCTCTGATCCTTATAGCTAAGTCCTTCCCATTCTTTTGTATAGCTTAGAAACTTTTCTTTAGACCTTCTCCATAATTTGTACATCTCTACAGAAGCAGGGTGCCCAAAACAAGATGCAGTGCTCCAGGTGGAACCTCACCATAGCCTTGAACAATCAGGTAATAACTTCCCATCGCCTTTTTTTTTTTTTCCCTAATCCTCTCCTTGTGCAGCCTGCATCGGTCTGCTTTGCTGCAGCTCACCATTGCATCCCCAGCTCCATCTCACCCCCAGCATCTCCCCAGGCCCTCTCCATCATGACTGTGTGGCAGTTTTTCATCCGTTAAGTGAACAGGGTCATTTTAGGACACAAACGCTCATCTCCATTTCACCTGCTGTGTCCTAGACCACTCCCCTACGGTGCTGAAACATCCTTCAGATGTTTTGAGTCACTGAAAGGCACTGGTGATATTTCTGGGTGTTTGTTCCCTGCCAAACTGTACCACTGCTCAAGCACAAGCCCACAGTATCCGTTTCTGAGCACTTTGAAGGGATCTGTCTCATACACATCAGAAAGGATTCAGGCACATTGCATTCTGTTCCTGGCTTTGCTTCTGACACCCTTCGCATGGCCTTGGGAAAGGTACTCCGGTATTTTCCAGCAGAGTGGGGAAGGTCAGGAGAACGAGACATCACCGCTATGCAGCAGCAGCCACATCAACCTGGGGGTCCTTCTGTAGCAGGAAGGACTTGTGAGATCGTGTTATCTCATCTAACGCTGTTCTCTTTAGCTCTAGTAAGATACTGATGGATGGATGATAAATACCTGGCTAGATGAGGCAGTGGAGCATCAGCTTTCTTAAACTTTAAGCCACACCAAAATCAAAGTACCCAGTTAGGTCACCTGCTTGTTGCAGTGAATCAGGACTGTGCTTGGAAGTCAGTGAAGTTGCCCTTAAAGAAGGCTGACGTGAAGTTTGCTCCCCAGGCTCCAAAATTGAGTTGGAAGTGCCATTAGATGGAAGGGACTGCAATCACCCGGATCAGATCTTTTCTAGGTGCAAGCAATGTGAAACACTGTCCGGATCCTTGGCCTGATTGCGAAATCAAATTTAATGGGTGTACTCACTGGATTGGTTTGGCATATTGGGATACAACTCAGCTGGGTCTAGTGATTTAGAAAATATTCAAAATTAATTGCTTGGTTTTGTGAGTGCAGTGTTAGTGATTGCTACATAAGTCATTTTAGTCCTACCTAGGGGCATATTTGCATATATTTGTCCTCCTTTCAAGTGAAGATCTTTGGGGAAACTGTATTTATCTCCTCCCAAGTCTTTCTTCGGCTTTCAGTAGTCCTACAGTCACCTCTTCATTTTGTTTCCGTTTAATGTATGTATAGAATAATCGACTCTTCCTCTTCCCACCAAGTGCAAATGAATCCACAGAGATCAAAAAGCATTAATATGAGGAAGGGTTACCTTCTGCAAGCGAGAAGGAAAAGATTAGCTGAACAGGCTGCAAAATAAAGATGGAAAAGATTAAGCTGGGTCCCCACAAAGTAGCTAAGAAGAGTCTTGGAGGAGGACAGAGGATGACCAAGCTGAATCAACCACAAATGGCAGAGAGACCAAGCCCCCATGGAGGAACTCAGAGCTAATTGTTAGCTTGGTGAATGTTGTTTGGAAAACCATAAGGTCCAGAGTGTTTCCCAGGATGACCATCAGGCCCCTGTCAGACTGCCCATTCCCTAGGAAAGCGGTTGAAACATTGACACCATGGAAGGTGAAACAAAGAGAGATCTCAGCCTAGAAACAGCCTCTGAACAACAGAGAATTTCCCTGTGCTTTTTGCCTGATGTAGTAGCAAATATCCCAACCAAAACCATTTCCATTCTTTCCCAAACAGAGAAGATTTCTACCCAGTTCCTAGGAAAGCAGTGCCACGGCCTCAGAAATGCTACCCACTGCCAGGACCCCCTTCGTTCCCCTTTCCCTTTGCCGTTTCTGCCTGGTATCCAGTTTCCATTCCTTTGGGACCACCCAGCAGCTTCTCTGGAGTTAACACCCGTCGGCTAGTTGCCGATCATTACATCTTCCCTTTATTCAGAACTTAGCCAGCTTCAGCGCTTTCTAAATGCAGCATTTTTCTAACGCAGCCTCTGATTTTGGATGCTTTACGCTGTATCAAATCAACTGTCCAGAAACGGAGACACCACAGAATCAGGGGTCACTCCGGAAAATGCTCTCTGCAGGCTCCTGCCTCCCCAGCGTGTTGTTTCCTTGGGTTTGATCTCCTTCCAACGCCTCCGTGTCCTCCTGGGCACGGGGCAGGGCAGCATCACCGACTGTAGGTATAAAGCATGTGTCCACGCCTGATCTCTCTCTCGCTGGGGGTCTTAGCAAGCCTAAAGCAAACCGATAATGCAAGTATAGGGACTCTGAGGATGTATAGCCTGTCCGGCATGGCCTGGGCTGTATTTCCCGCAGAGCTCTCGACTGCAGAGCCCAGCGAGGTGCAGCAGCCAGGTCTGCGGGGACAAGGGTTTTTATGAAACTTATCTGTTCCCCTCTCTCTGCCCTCCCTGACGCGCTCGCATCCTTCTCTATCTAAGCGATATCTCTCCCTATCACTTGTCTGCCCCTCGAGCCCCTCCTGTCCCCCCAACACACCCAACCATCCTCCCCCAACCCTAAAATTAGAAGACCTGATTGCGCAGATTGAAGGCCCTAATTGCACTTCCCTTTCCAAAGCCGCCTTCGTTTATCATAAAGGGTGCACATTTCCCCTGCTACAGTTTCCACGGCCAGAGGCCCTGAGGGCCAGCTCAGAAATGGAGGGAATTAATTACATTTTTTTAACTCCCCTTCTTTTAAAGTATGGGAGAGAGTGATGAAACGTCCCGGGGGGGGGGACATGGAACAGAGGGGAGCTGCAGAGATGAGGGTGGGGAGGGAGGCAGCAGCAGGAGGCGAGGAGGGGGGCTGGCTCTTTCATCCAGGAGGGTCTTTGTGCATTAACCTTGGGCTCCCCAACATATGAAGACCCTTACCCCCCCTCCTCCCCATGACAAATGACCTCCGGAAAGGGTAGAAACGAGGCCGAAGGCTCCTAGCACCGTGGCCGTTATTGACTTAGCCCGAAGTGCAAGCCCACGCCACGCCTGTGACTGATTTGGGACAGCAAGCAAAGGGAAAGGAGATGGGAAAGGGAGAGAGACAAGCGATGAGAGGGAGGGGAAAGGGAAGGCTGTCAGTCACTGTGATGGACAGGTAGCAGATTTCCCTCCAGATAAAACCTTACAGATGTGAAGTGGGTATTGATTTTTAGTTACTGATGATAATGCACCAAGAAGTAATAAATTATAAGAAAAGCAAGGTCAAAAAGAAAAGGTAAAAGGACTTTGCATTCTTGAGGAATAGATTTCTCCAGATGCCCCAGACTTTCCTAAGTTCAAAAGTTGCCTGGAAAATGAGTTTATCCAGCTGAAACAAGAAGTCAGATAACGCAGGCCTGCCGAGGCTGGAGGGCTTGTGTAGGGTTATCCTTGCTGGGTGGCTGCGTAGCAAGAACTCCTGTTATTTCTAACACCTTCCTGTCCTGGGATGGGGAAGATGGGATGCCGTGCTCTGGTAAACCTGTGCAAATAGTCTCAGGGGAGCCCAGCCCCAAATTGCTCCCAGCGTGCCTGGAAAAGGCAGGTGCTTCCTACGTTCCATCACCAACAACGCTGACCGGAGACCTTTGGGGTTCCTTTGGCCCCATCTGCAGCACTCAGCCCCCCTGCCCCATGAGATCCTCCAGCAGGGATGTGCATCTCGTAGCCACCTTCCAGCATCTCCCCTCTCCAGCCTTCATGGAGTTATGTATCCGTTCACCACCCTGGCATCGTTGTGATGAAATATTGGCATCCTTATATTTCACTAGGGGTCCCCAGGGGGAAGATCAGCCCATGTTTTTCAGGAATGGGTCTTAGGATGGGATGAATTGTCCTTCAGGAGTGTCAGTCTCTCTGTAGAGGGATTCTAGAGGATTAGCAGAGACTAGCAACTTAACTTCATGTGGCTAAGGTTAGTTGAGTCGAGTCCTAGCTTAAGTGACTCGCACAAGCCCTTGTGAGTCAGTAGCAGAGCTGGGATTAGAAATCAGCCCTGATTCTGACTGATTAAAGCCAATTACTGTCTTTAGTAGGAATTGTGCAAGTGTGTTCACCGGTCCCAGCTCCTCTGAACTTGAAGAGTGTGAATCTGGGTTTCATTTACTACCGTTGCTTTACATCCCTCGTTCTTTTTAAAAGGGCCTTAGCGGAAGTGTTAATATGACTTCTGCTTGCTTTAAGAGCCTTTTCTTTTCTCCGCGTAATATAAAGCATCTGACTCTTTTGGGGAGATGGCCAGGAGGGAGAGCACTAGAAAACCCTCTGCTCTGTGAGTGGTTCCGGTTGCCCTTCATTTTATAGCGCACGATTTCTTTTCTGAATCTGCAGGGGCTGGCGGCGCGGGCAGCACATCCGCAGGCAGGCAGCACTGCCAGACCTGGACAGCTCAGGAACGGAGAGGGAAAGCATCCCGGCTTCCTGCTGCCCGAGCTGGAGCTTTCCAAAAATAACTCATCATTCATAAGTCTTGTGTTTTCACGTAGGCAAGAAGGATGTTTATTGTTTTAACCATCTGATTCTGCTTATGATTGAAACCCAATAATGCCTCGTGGCTGCTGTATACGCGAGCGTCCTGGATATCTGTCAGGGCAGGATGTCACACCTACCGCTACGGCGATGCTGGAGCTATGAGCTCTGTCTGCAGCCCAGCGGGGTCGAGGGGCAGAGAAGGAGGATTCGCAGAGCTGAGCCAGATCAAAGTTCATGACCCAGCTTTAGTGGAAGGTTACAAATAACTTTGCAGCTGGCAAACCTACCTTCAGGCCGCACTCCCATGATTTCCCCGCTGCAGAAGCCTTGAGGCAGAGAGGTTTACGTTACATCCACACAGAAAAGCATGACAGCCCTATTCTCATATTAATCCACTCTGGCTTGCATATTTAAATGCAATTTCCTTTCTTCAGCCCCCTGCCTTTCAGTCTCTGGGCTGTTATGGGGCACATTTTGCACAGTGTTAGGGCTGAACAACTTCATCTAGATACCTTGAGGCTTAATCACTGTGATTAAGAAGCTGTGCCCAGAGGGTCTGGAGAGCTGGAGGTGATTTAGGCTCTGTCTGCAGTGCCCTCTGCCCTGCGGTGTAGAGGCAGCTAAGCTAGGTTTAACTTTCGGGGACCAGTAGCAAACTCTAAGCTGAGCGCAGGCTGAAAACCCTGAAGAAGGAGAGGGTAAGTGAACCCTGTCTGAGCTCTGTGCCGCGGCCACTGCGCTGCTTTTACTTGGCTTGTTCAAACCTCATTCCTGTGTCTGTGTACCACGCTGCAGTCAAACCCAGAGGCTGGGGTTAGATTGATTTTCCAGGCGTTTTGACTAACCCCCTCCCCAGTACCTCCCTATGACCTCCCCCTCTGCGGGGGTCCAGCCACCCCTGCTCCCGAATTCCCCTCCCAGACAAATGCCTGGGAAGGATCTCAGGCTGGCTGAGGCGGGAGGTGGCATCACATCAAGGGAAAGCATCTTTGCAGGACTCCTGAATCCTTCCGGGGGGGGAGGAGAAGCTTTAGAAAGCAAAAACCAGTGCGTAGCCAGTTATTCAGCCTAAGCCCCCGCTCCAGCAGGAAGGTGAGGGAGGAGGGGACGGGGAAGGTGTCGGGGTGAGCAGGAAGGGGACACGCCGCTCTATACAACCCCTCTTGTGTCCTTCCAGAGAATGTATCCCCCGCACAATAGCTCACCAGGCCGCTGGTGGGGGGATAAAGGGCTCATTTTACCACTTGCCAGGCTCCAAATATTTCCAATTTGCCACTTTAATTGATGTCAACAAGGTTATGCTAAATTCGGAGATTTTCAACCGCTCGGCATCTGAGCGCTGGCCTGGCCCCCCGAGGTGACTGGTTGTCCCCTCTCCCCCCTCCCCGCCTTTCCCCAGCACAAATACGGCGAGGCACGCCTGCGGCGGCTGCGGAGATCAACCGAGAGGCATCAGGAGGAGTTCCCTTCCTTCCCTCAGCTTCTGCAAACTCTTTACACTCTTAACTTGGCAGCCCCGGGGGTAATTTTGCTGATTGCAGGAGGCAATTGCATTAAAGCGCGAGCAGGATCTTGTGTGAAGGCCTGTAGGCAGCGGCTTACCCCAAACTCACCCGCAGGAACAAATCTGGCATCTTTGCTGCAAAAGAAGGGGGAAAAAAAAAAAAAAGATCATTAGTTCATCTGTTTCAGGTCTCAAAGCAGGAAGATCGCTTGTGTGCGAATTTAATTACATTTTCAAACTGAGCCGGACCAAGACCTGTTCTCCTTTAACATTTGAGGCTAAAGAGAACTTTGACATTTCAGTCCCTGAAGCTGAATCTGCATCAAAGGCAGAATGAGTTTGCGTCTGGTTCGGTTAGGGACCTTTGCAAACCAAGCCCTGCTCAGACTTCCAAAGAAAGAGGCTGTCTGCAGCATCCCTTTTTGAAAATATGTCCCTTTGCTCCCTGTCGCGTGTCTGCTCCTCTGCGAGGGCTGTGCGTAGGGACGGAGGGTGCTGGTTCATAGCAGTACGTGTTGAGTAGGTTTGTCCCAGGTTTATTCCTTTCTCCAGTGTTCATTCTGAACAGCACAGCTAACGTTGTTGGCAGGTCACAGAATCACAGAATGTTAGCAATTGGAAGGGACTTTAAAAGATCATCTAGTCCAATCCCCCTGCTGGAACAGGAACGAGAAAGAAAAACAAGCAAAGAAAAAAACAAAAATTCAGTGTGCTGTGAAGGAACTTCTCAGTTATCCCCTTTGAGGTCCTTCAAATCAAGTGTTAGACACAGAGGAGCCCATGTGGGGTCTGTCTGTTGTTGTTTGGTGGAAGCAGCCTTCATCCTCCAGCCTGGCCAAATCTGTATCAATATTGTGTATATACGGATAGAGCAGCACTGTACGTAGACTGTTTCTCCCTGGTATGCGTTAAGGCAGCTGTACACGTACCCTTTCTCCTCCAGACATTGACATGTTGCCTCCTCTGTTTCTCCAGGTGATGAGCATCTTGAGCAACCCCAGCGGGGTTCCTCCGCAACCCCAGGCTGACTTCTCTATCTCTCCCCTTCACGGTGGCTTGGACACCACCAACTCCATCTCTGCCAGCTGCAGCCAGCGGAGTGACTCCATCAAGTCCGTGGACAGCCTCCCAACTTCCCAGTCCTACTGTCCTCCCACCTACAGCACCACCAGTTACAGCGTGGACCCAGTGGCTGGCTACCAGTATGGACAGTACGGACAAAGTAAGTGCACTGGTTGTATTCCCCCTGCATAGGGAACAGGAGAAGAGACGGAGGGGATGGAAGAAGGTATAGATGTTGTGTTGGAAGGGATTCCCACGGAAACCTGTCCATCTAGAGAGAAAAAGGGGGTCTACTCACCACACACAGATTGAGATTACTCCACACAGCCTCCCCAACACTCTCACAGTCCAATTCAAAAATCCCAATTGAAATATTTTAGGTAAAACATTTTTATTAGAAAAGGACAACTTCCAGACCTCTGTCCTTCCCCCTCTCCAATTCTTCCTTTCCAAAAGCCCCACAACATGTTTACCCTGTTCAATCAAAGGAAAGCTGAGATTTTAATGCCATCCCTTAGTGATGCAGAACTATGTGTGTCTCTTTTTCCCCTCCTCTGCATAAGGTAGGGGCTGGGTCCGTGCTCAGAGATATTACTACAAAATGCATTAAGCTGGTGCCTGTCAATGGTGCTGTGGTTCTGCAAAAGCTGAAGTGAGGCTGGGATTGTTAATCCTGAACCTAAACCTCAGACTCAAAAGGCAGAGGGACACTGGAAGGATTTTATTTCTCCTCCAGAATGGATGGGTCACAAAAACACCAGCGAGCCTGGCAAAGGGCTCACCTGCCGGTGTTAAACTAATGATAAGTGGTGTTGTGAGAGAGTGATCCGTGGAGGGTTAAAGGTGCATCCTCTTCCTCCGGGAGCGCTCCTGCTTGCCCATAGCTTGTCCTCAGTGACCTTTCCTTCCATTTGGCTGTGGCTTTTTATTCCCCTCTCCGTCACAGCCCTTTAATGTCTTTAACTTCTCCGGCTAAATGAGAACCGGCTGTGGCGGCAGACGGGATCAATAGCAGCTTCCCCCCACCCCTCCTTTTTTTGTTTTTCGGGAGTTTGATCTGTGACCCCTTGACCTTCCCCTCGCTTCTGGATGTGAGGCTGGACACACGTGCTATTGATAAAAATCTTAAACAAATTCCAATACCATGTATTTCCAATAAAGATTCCCTTGGGCAAGACGTTAGTCACACCCATGTGTGTAAAAAATAAAATAAGGAGGACGAGCTATGTTTTCTGAGAGACCAGCAGAGGAGAAGGAAAGAGAAAGAAGGGTTTGTCTTGGTTTGCTGCAGGAATTTTGACTTGGGCCTCTCCTTATGCTGATGAAAAACTGCTGACGCAGCTGTATTTGTGGTGTTTTATTTGCCCCCTTTCCTGATTTCTGTCGCATAGCTCCCTCTTTTCTGCTGGACACCCATTAAATTTACAAGCCCATGGCAGATGCAGCACAAACCAACTGTAGCTGCTCTAAGGTGGGATCTACATTAAGCAGCAAACTCCACGTGTGTGCACGTGTATCTATAGATATCTGTATTTACAGCTCTGTCCAGGCAATACATAAATCCACGTCACTTTAAACCTTTCTTATAATGAGCCCCATTTATTATCATCTCTATGCGAGGAAACAGTTTTCACTGGTAATTAGTCCTGTTAGAGCAATCACTTACATGAAGTTGACCTTGATATAACAACATTTTTTCATGTCTTTCTCCAGTGCATGTTGTATTTAGCAGATACTTCTAATTCCTCCTGCTTTTTAATTCTTCACTGCTTCTTTTCTTGTTTAAATGCCAGTTGGTGTGAGGTGACCTCTACTATGTCATTTATTGATGCTCAGGTCAGGTCATATATTTCTTTCTTCTATGATGCAGCAAAAAAAGTATCAAAACTGTTTTTAGTGAACACTGTGATATAATAAGAATGGGGGGGTTGTGGTGGGGGCAGGCTCTGTGTAACGGGGACATAACCTGGGCTTGTAAAGAAGAGCTCTGGAGCTTGGGACCTGGCCCAGAAAATCTCTCTGTCCCCTCACTTGTCTCCTTATTCTTTGTTTTAGAAACACAAAACCAGACACACTTTCTCTCTCACATAAGCAAATAAACACCCAGAGTACTTTTGATAAGTTTTTGGTTTTATTTTGGCTTCCACTGTATTAAAGCAACAAACCACGTCTTTGACTTCTGGGACGGGATACCTTGGTGCCTTTGAACTCTTCCTCCTGGCACAGAAAGCAATGTTGGGACTTCAGCGTGGTTTTTTTAGAGGGATGGGACTGCCATCAAATTTCCATTTTGCTGAGTGCTGCCCAGAGCAGGATGAGCAGCTCTGTTCCCAGCACCCATCTGAACTCACTCAGAGCACAGGTGACAACCACACACCCAAGCAGCGTGTCCGAGGAGTGAACCTCCTCTTTCCTACAGCCTCTCAAAGACATTATTTAATGTGGTTATTATCTGAAATATTAGGGGATCAAGCCGAAAAGGTCTGGACGAGAGCCATACCTTGGGGTCTAATCCTAATCCTTGAAGCTAGAGGCACTATAACACAACATTACAGAGCCCAGTGCTCCAGTTTAGCTTCTCCAGGATCCCAGTCCCCAAGGAGCTCCAGCCAGCGTGCCACCTCCACTTGCCTAACTCAGCCCCTTCCAGCCTCAGCCGCCTGCGGAAGCTGTGCTCCCCTTGCTTCGGCCCCGGATAACTCACCCCGTGCCAAGCCTGCTCGCTTCCAGCCTGCCAGCGCTCGCCCAGCCTGCGCTGTCCCAGCCGGTGAGGAGCAGAGATGCCAGGTTAATGTGGTCCTCGCAGTTCCCAAAGGCCGGAGCTGTGTTAATGATGCCGGTGATGGAACGCAGAAGCGTGAAAGGAATTCTAATAGATATGACAAGTCTAATAAGAATTTGTGGCTGGAAGGGACCTCCTCTGGGGCAGGCATCTGACAAGACATTGATGGCTGAAATTTGTTTACTCATTGGCACCGATTGTAGGTCTCCTGCCAGCTCCTTATTAATCTAATTTGAGACATTAAAGCTAGCGAAAGGGAGAGACTTGACTGAAGCTCAGCTAATGAGCAATGTCACCATCCTGCCCCAGTCCTCTTTCCCCCCCAGACCACGGGGCAGTCGGGCGAGCTGGGATGCGGGTTCACGCCTCGCCCCGGGAGTCGTGGCTGTGGTTCTCACCCAGATGGAGATAAGCAAAGCGGCTTCCCTTAGGAAGGGTGGATGAAAGCAGGCAGCGGAGCTCACACGGATGAGTCAGCACGCAGATTCGAGCCCTGTCCGGACGTGGTGAGCTTCCACTGAAATCTCTGGAATCATTTCCACCAGCATCGTGAGAGCAGGAGCTGGCTTTGCCGCTGTGAGATGATCCAGAGAGGTGAGGCTGGAAGGTTTATCTTCCTGGCTTTCTGCTTAGGCTCATCTTCAGACAGCTCCCTCGGAAACACCATTTTCCATGGCAGCAGGAGAATTCTAGCTCTTTTCAGCAGGTTCACAGGGAGATTTGAGGGACTGCAGCAGGACGCACGGAGGGCACTCTGCACGCCACAGCTGTCTCTGTTCTGTCAGGTGTTTCTGGCAGGACCATCACGTGTTTGCACAATGTCCTTGGCATGTCTGTGACAACCACTGCATTGGGCGTCTCTTTGTAAGAGTCACTCTGTTGGTTACGCACCCTTTGATGGTGAAAGCTTCATTTCCACTAAATGCTAACACTCATGTTGTACTCTTTGCTCACCCTCTTTTTTTTTCCCCCCTTCTCTTCAGCTGCTGTTGATTATTTGGCCAAGAACGTGAGTCTGTCTACACAGCGTAGGATGAAGCTGGGAGAACATTCAGCCGTTCTGGGCCTCCTACCAGTAGAGACAGGCCAAGCTTACTGAAGAGTCCGACTGTGCCAACGACCCGCTCCAGCATCTTGATACCACTGGAGAAAACACCACCAGCCTTCCAGGGATCTGCCTGTACCCGGACCCTGCTCCTTCCCAATTCCCTTCCGCCTCCTACCAACTTTGAGCTGTGAAGGAGACGGGAAAGAGCGGGAGGGCTCTCCAAGTATCCAGCTCCTCCCAGAGCACTCATCTCAGAGGCAAGCCTGGCCTCTGGGACCTGACTCCTCCTGTGGCCAGAGACAACGGGTTGGGTACATTTATTAACCCCGAGTTTGTGCCCTCCCTCTGAGCTACCTGGCCATGGCATTTTGCCCACACTTAAGGACTTTCCATTGATCTAGGTAGTTGGCATAGTCAAAGCCAAAATGATCTTTTTTTTTTTCTTTGTAAAAAAAATGTTTTGTTTTGTTTCCTTTTCTTTCCATTGCTGTAAATTTGGTGAATGTTGTATAGGAAGGAATAACCAAGCTGATCATTAAGGGTGATATAATTCGGGACCACAGAAGACCTATGGACCAAATATAAGAACTTGTTTTAAAAAAAAAAAAAAAAACAAAAAACAAACCACAAAGACAAAATCAGAAAAACACATATATTAAAGTGACAGCGAATTTCCCCACCCCTCTACCCTTCTGTTCTCACTGATGGCTTCTCAAAGCAGGGCCAAAGCAGGCCAGATCGCTGCTAAGCAGGGGCAGGATGTAAGTCCGTCCAGCCTGGGACCTTTGGAAAGTGTAAATGTAAATTGCTGCATGAGGACTGGAGATGATGGGCACAGGCACAAACAACATTTACTTTTCCTCTTAGGGACCAATTTAGAGGTGATTGTCACTGCAAAGACACGGGCATCTGATAGCAGCAGGAGATGTGATAGCGAACGCTGGCCTTGCACGCACAGAGGAACGGCATCAGACATACCCCATTGCGTCGGAGCTCTTGCTCATCCAGTCGAGGAAGGCGAGGACTGTCGGTGGCCCTTCTTTCGCTCAGTGGGAGAGAAGCTGGCCATGAGAGAGGGAAGAGTCAGAGGTGTTTGTTAGGAGGGGTCAGGATGCAAAGCCAGGTTCTTCTACAAGTAAAGGGCCACCTGAAGGAAAATGGTGCTTGTTCTGAAGGTGCTTTCCCACAGCTGCCTCTCGCTGGGGGATGGATGTGGCTGTGGAGTCAGAGGAGAGGTGACCTGAAGAGTCTTTCTGACAGCAGCTAGGAAGGCGAGGTGCTCTCAGCTGCAGCGTTGCACCTGTTTGTACTGCAGGAAAAGATTTACCTTACCGACGGTGTTCTTTATTGTTGAGCTACCAAGAGAAATGCTCATCCCCGTCCATCCTCCTGGATCTTCCCCCACCCCTCTCATCTCGTGTAGCATTCTGTACAACTCAGTCTCTCAGTCCCTTCCCTCTGCTTTTCGTTTTTGGTGGTGGAGCTTCTCTCTCTCTAAGCCAGATCATGTTGTCTGGATTTATCACCCCACGTTTCTGTACCAGCCAGTGCTCTCACTTTGGTACCGGCTCACGATTCTGCTCATCACACTGCTCAGATAAAGGCAGCCAACAGTAAGAGGGTATTGCTCTGTCATGACCACCATGGGTTTGGAATAGTTACCCTTTTGCATGTGGTGAGGACTCTTGATGGTTCTTAAGCAGATATCTAGTATTATAGCATTTTTTCCCCTCACCTTCCTGTGTTGAGAGGGCTCACTTCAAGAAACATGACCTGGAGAGGGCAAAGAAAGCTGCCCCTGAGATAACCGCCCCCATGCACAGAATCTGCACCAGCTGATGGGTAAAGTCCAGTTTCAACAGGCAGTACTTAAAGTCATCTACAGACCATTAGGGTTTATAATACACTTACTATTCTCTATGTCTACTTTAGGATAACGAATGTTTGCTTTTGTCCGCTGGCGATAACGATGGACCACGTGGTTGGATGAGTTCTGGTCTAGCACGTTCCTGGGCTGTTAAAGGAGACACTTCTTTTGTGTTCTCTTCTCTTGCTGCTGCTTCTTCCATTCTTCTCAAATAATCTGATCTTGTTTTTGCAGCTGTAACAACATTTTTGCTGGGGAACTATCCCCTGCCTTGCCCCAACATCATTTATCATGAACCACTTGTGCCACGCGGACAAGTACCTGTTCTGACCAAAGCAGAGTTTTGCTTCTTCCCTTGCTCAGCATCCTATCAGAGCCACATCTGGCTCTCATCAGCTTTGCTTTACGGCTGTGGCAGAGCCTGTTCTACATTCCTAAAAACATATTAATACACCGGCTTGGCCTCTCCCATGCGTGTTTCTGTGCAGGAGCTCTTTACGGGGCGACATCTGCATCCAGAGGCTGTCACTGATGCTCCAGAGATCCCAGTTCAGCCTCTTCTTGTCCAGATGTACCACGCGTGAAGCTTCCCCCTAGATCTGAAAGACTTTCCTGGGATCACAAAACTTTTGAAGCACTCGAAGCTTGCCTTCCTCCCGTCCTTTCTCAGGGCAATATAGAGCACCTACAGCTGGATGAATAGGTGAGGCCAAAGGTACCGGTTTCCTCCGGGGAACGGAACAGCCAAAATACCTTGGACCAGTCGCGTGATCTCCCTGCTTTGCGCCAGTTTGAGATCTCAGAAAGCAGCAAAAGATGCTGGGTTTTGTTGTTTACGTTTAGAGCTGATCTAAGGAAGAAATCTCTTTTGAATTCCAGTCCTGGCTTCAATGTCATTCCCAACAAGAGTAACCTTCAGCCCCACCTGAGCTGGGGGATGGAGGGTGAGAGCAAGGGTGTCTCTGGGAGAGATGCCAGCGTAGGGATCAATGGCTGAAGCACCTGGTTGAATTTTCTCCTGTGTCTCAGTATCATTCTGAGCTGACTGCTAAAACCCAACAGAGCGCACAATTTCCTCGTGAGCCACATTTTATAGTATTTCAGAGCCCAAATGCCGATAATCACCCTGTCTGGGAGCACAAATCTACATCGTCCTTACCGCCGGAAGATGGAATTTGTAGAATGGTGATTTTTGGCCCCATATCTGCCCCAGACGTTTCCAATCCCTTGTTCTTTATCCTGAAATTTCTGACCAAATGCATTCCTAGCTGCCTGTTAACTAGAAGGAAAGTTTCCATTTGTCATGAGAATTGCTTGTCCACTGCTCCCGCTTGCAAAGACCCACCAGCTCTCTTCTCCCCGCCGTTATCTATTCTCCCGTGCGTGCGTACGCGTCTCCCGAGCATCCCTCAACAGCTGCTCCTCGAGGAGGACTTCAGCTGAGCTCAGCACAGAGTGCAAGACCCCAAAAGTAAAAATTTTTTTAAAAAGAGGGAGCACTGTAGAAACCTATTTGCCAATTACCTTTACCAGAAAGTCCGTGAACCACCCGGGCGCCGCTGTAAATAGAATTCTTAGAGGAATATGAAAAATGCCCCATGCTAGCGCAAATAGCTATTCTCTGACCTTTCCCTCGTGGTCGCACTTTGTACATTAGTTGGAAATTTGGTCATGTGCTGTATGTTTATAGAAAGTTGACATTTTTTTTTTATACTAAAAACACAGTGAGTGCCGTGCTAGTTAAAAAAAAAAGCAAAAAAAAAAAGCGGGGAGGGGGGATGAACTGTAGAAATTTGCCTATCGTGTGTTTTCAAAATACATTCCAGAATCTTTGGGGTGGGATGGGTTTGATTTGAGGATTTTTTTTGGTTCTTTTGTTTAAGGTACGTTCATGTATGAAAGTCAAAAGTATTTTTCGTTTCGTTTTGTTTTGTTTTATGGATTGCCAACCTCAGTTCTGCTGAAAAGAGACAAAGTCGGGGGGTGGGATGGGATGGGATGGGATGGGGGGACAGAACAGAGGGAGGTGCCTTGAAGGCAAAACAAAACCAAGCATGGAAGAGTAGCAGTTGGACAGCAGGACCCTGAAGAGCATGCGACTGCGGTTGCTCAAAGCTGACCAAACGGGGACTGAGCAGATACTCAACTCCTGGTGACTCTGGAGGTGCCTGGGAATCCCAAAATCATTCTGCACCTCATCGAACAAACCACCCAGCGAAGGGACGTGCTCCAGAGACCTTCTCAGGTCGACGTTTCTTCCATGCCTGCAGATGAGAACTGACATCCTTGGGGGGAAAGGAAAAACGCCGAGTGGATTTCTTTTTACCTCCCCACGCCCTTCCTGCACCCCTACCTTCACCTCTCAGCACCTTCCTGAGACCCCAAAAATGGACATTTCCTCACTGTGTCCAGTAACTCAGCAGATTTGGCTCCTGTCGCTCCGAGACTTTTGTGTATTTAATGCTTCTAACCCGTCATCCCTAACACCTCCCATATACCCACCCGGGGGAATATCTACATAGCACTATAGGACATTCCTTATTCCTAGTAACTGCGGATATGTCGCTTCTGTGTTTTTGCCTCATAGCCATTTTGCTCCATGTGTACGCCTGCGCGTGAGGATGTGTGCGTGTGTGCCCGCGTGCGTGCGTGTGTATATATATAATCGCACCATAATTTATTCAGCTATATGGAGTAGTCTAGTAGAAAAGAGAAAAAAAAAACCTGGTATTTGCTTTAACTACCTGCTGCCTGTAGGTGTCTCTCTGTAACTCAGGCATAACTGTTATACATTAAAAAAAAAAGGATTAAAAAGTGGCTTTGGGGTGGCTTGTTTGCTTCACTCGCTCTGCAGCCCGCCAAGCACAAGGGGGAAAAGCTGGTAAATGAGAAATATTCGCACACAGGCTACAGATGGTTTCGCTAAAAAGCAAAATCGCGTGTTTCATTCATTAATGAAAAGGTGGAAAAGCTCCGTAAAGAAATAAAACATTTAATTTCACTGTGACTTTCGCAAGGGAAGAACAATTACCTGGCCTGTTCCAAATACAACCGGTTTCTTTATGCATTCATTTTCAGCGAGCTAGTGCATGGGCGGAGGAGGGCCAGGGTAGGACTGGGCTGCCGTCGGAGCTCTGCGGGCACCTGGCTTTCGTTAAAGGCCAAAGCGTGGCATCAACAAGCGGAAAAATATTTTGAAACTACGGAGGAAAACATGGCTCGGGGCTTCGGCAATGGGTAATAAAGCATTTTGCCTTTAAACAAAGCGCTGAATTCAAAAGCCGTTCCCATCTGAAGACATTTTGGCTCTCCGTAAAATAAATTGATCTTCGTCCAAGTCGTGCTGGACGAATATCCGCACACAGAAACGAGCCTAATTAGCTGCTGGTTTTTTTTTTTTTTTTTTTTCTGGTTGCCTCTCAGCAGAGGGATCAGTCCGCGGGAGCTAAGTGGCTTCCCAAACCCTGATGAGATCGCTGTTAGATAAGATACACCGACTGCGAGATGAGATGCTGCTTGTGCGCAAAAGAGGCAGAAATCTGCCAGCCTGGAGCCTCCTGGGCACGGCAAGACTCAAAACCTGTTCTTA